ATGGGCCTAAGGCCTTCATAGCCTTCCCTATCTTGGTTTGGGCCTCTCATTTTGATTTTGGCCTGTTTATACCTCTAAGACAGTGTAAAAACTCTAACCACCAATCGCATGCACGGTCACTGGAAAAGCTAACTAAACCTAACCACCTTAATGTCCCTCATGAACTCAATAAAAGCAAGATGGCTATTGCAACCACCGTATTCAACTACTTCACTCTATCTCTGAAAGAAGAAGAAGAAAGAAGAAGAACAACAACAACAAGTAGCTGCAACATAATCTGGGTTCTGCCAGATTCTGGAGTTGTTTCTACCCAAAAAATGTTAAAACGTTTCTGATTTTCTCTCCTGTTTCTTCACACCTGTTGCCAGTTTTATTACAGGTGCAGGTTTTCTTTTAAGTTTCTTCTGACAATATATGATGTCCTGATATGCAATTTTCATTTAAGTTTCTTCTGACAAACTTATGCCATATAGATATAAAGATATACTATTCAATCACTTGAAAAATTTGATGATGCAACTCATTTCGAGCGATGCTATAGCCAGCTAGAGAAAGGAATACCATGATAATTTAATTTCTTCCTCAAATTAATTTAAAATTATTCCTAATATCCTATCTGTGCAATTATGTTCCGAAAATATGTTTCTTCGTTCCCTCCAGTATGTCAATGAACACGTTGCATTGTCTATTGCTGATTAATGCTACTGTGTTTACATATGCCTTTCTTATTCAACTAGTTGTGCCGCTTGTCATCCATAATGGAATAGGATAGCACTCGTATGCCATAAGAATGAAAATTTTCCACTACTAAAAAAAAATGGTTTGGACCATAGTTAAATTTATATTTTTGAAGCATGATTTTCTTTCTCAATAGGAATAATTGTTAATTTCTACCAATAGAAACATCCACATAGCATGGACCCACCTTGCACGAGAGCGTGGGGGCATGCAGATTGCGAGTGGGGCACCCATCCATGCCATGAACAGAGTTGTTCCTTTTTTACATTTATTTTTTCAGTTCTATATGTCACACTCTCCATTACTATTTATTAATGACTAGGTGGCAGATCTTTATTACTGAGTTTCACTTGTTTCGGTATGTTTAATAGGTGTTCTTTATGTTAGATATTTAAAGCTTGTTCTAAGTTCCCAGATATCATGTGTACTTGATGTCTGTGATGCTTCCGAATGCACTCCTTTGTTGTCCCTTAGCTGCTTCTTGGTTCCTTTTGGTGAGTGGTTTCCTTCTGTTACCCAACGTCTATTGGCTCTTTGAGATATTTGTTCAATAGCATGTAATCCGTAGCCGAGGTTACATATTTTATGTTGGGTATTTAAAGCTTGTTTTAAGTTCACAGATATCATGTGTTCTTGATGTCTGTGATGCCTCTTAATGCACTCCTTTATTGTCCCTTAGCTGCTCCTTTGTTCCTTTTGTTGAGTGGTTTCCTTCTGTTGCCCGAAGTCATATTTGCTGTTTGAGGTATGTGCTATGGAGTCAACCATTTTGACAATATATCAAAATCCACTCTTTTTTTAATGAAAGAAATTCCTATTGATCCAACAAACAAAGTAAATAGGACCAACATTAGCAGGGGAAATAGCATAATATTTTCTGATTCACAAGGATATGAATAAATTTTATTATTGCCTGGTTCTAGGCTAGAGCAATATATTCTAGATTGAAAGAATTACACAAAAAGAGAGTAAATCCTTGGCGTATTAGAAATCCACCCTGTTTTTAGCTATGTATAGGACTTTTATTGGGATGATTGATTGACTGGTTTGGGATGAGTAGTCCCTTACCTTAAACAAGCGAGCACAATAGAGCAACCAGTTGTGTCTATCTTCACTCATAGCACGTAATCCATAACAAATAATTTGTTCCCAAGCCGAGATATATATTTAATCTGCTTTATTTGGTTAACTATTTTGATTCTTAGAACCCATGAATCGTGCTAACAGGCTTTGATAGTGTACTTTTTTGATGTTAAGAATCTAATTCCATTTCCACTTAATTTTCATGTAGTCCACCATCTTGCCAGCTGAGTGTGAATACTTAGAAAGGATTGTAAGAAGCCATTTTATCCTATTTGTATCTCGGAAAAATCCCAATTTATGAATGACCCACCTGACTTGTTACAAATAATTTTATTTTCGTTTTCATTTTTAATTAGCACAAAGAAACACCCATGCGACCTAAACTTGGGTGGGAACTGATGGTTTCTAATTGAACCCTGATTATGAGCCGGGATTAAAATGTTTTATCTAACTTGGGTACCACTTGCTTGCAACGAAGTTTGGAACATGAATCCAAAGTGTCATTTGGGATTTTTTTTTTTTATACGTTTATTGGTGAAGAGTTGTATGGAAGTCTATTGTTTTATCTAGCATGGAAGCTGACATGAGTGGAATTTATATTTGCTTTGAGTAATAAAATCAAAACCTACCCTTTGAAATCCTGCTTGTAGAACGGGGGATCCATCTGGATGTGGTCCCTGCCCGCAGTGAGTTTTCTCAATCCTGGGACCCATTGTAAGAGGCTATTGCTCATTTATTGGTCTCAGCAACCAAATTCATTAACTCACTTGATCCATGTTGCCTATAACTCTCCAAAAACTTCAATTCTCTCTGTGATGTTGCAAATGTATTTTATGCATCATAATTATTCTTTTTATTTTTCTTTTCAAATTCTGAAACTACATATCATTTATTATGTTCAGGTTCAAAATTTAAAAAGTTCCTGTTAGCTTCATTCATCTTCATTTAAGATGGATAAAAAGGAAGATAGCAAAGGGATGAACTGACGGGTGTATGAGCAAATTATCTGTTGTCTCCCTCTCCTTTTCATAACTTTCTCCTCTAGGCAAATAAATTTTTTTTAAAAAAATCCAATTTTATGAGTTGTTAAAAAATGTTCGCAACATATAAAAAGCTTAGTGCTATACATGTACAAATTGGGGGAATGGCACCATAAAGGTACCAGTAGTTTTGCCCACAACTCTCCTCCATTTTTGGATGTGTGATAGTCTTCAGCTTGAAACTTTCCCACTGTTTGCCCCATTAAAAGAGGGTCATACATCACACGTTTTGTGTTTGACAAATTGATCTATTTGTCGTCAACGGTCTGGTCTTTGGAAAATACTCCGCTGATATATCACAATTTTATCCCGATAGAGTGAAAGGATCCTGTTGTGATGCACTTGCTTTCAGAATATCATATTTGCACATGTATATGTGTAGTGGGGTAAATTAATTTTTTTGAAGATAGAAAATAAGTTTGTTGTTTAGCTGACAAAAAGGTAGTGTTTTCAGTCATGAACTGCTAACTTATTCTTTAGCTCCATTATAGATATAGGCTAATTGAATTATTTGTTGAACAGTTTTTTCAGTGACCATTCTATCATTATGCTACAATACTATTCACTAGCTATCTTAGCTGATATTGCTCAGTTTAAAATACTGCAGGAAATGACTTATAAAACTAACAATCTTGTAACAGTTTGAGCTCTCCTTCATTTTATTCTTCAATCTGGCCCAGGAAACAAACTCAATGTGCTTATTCGTATCATGCTAATGATCAGCTTTGAGCGTTAAGTGTTACAAAAAGCAATTTGTAATGCATATTTGTCGATCTAAGCTAATAATAGAGCATAAATGGAGTACAAGAAATTGATCAACCTACGTGTGATTGATAGGCTGATTGAAATCCAAGGTCAACATTTGTGGGTTGGTTTATAGGACCAAAAATCTTGCCTTTCCACCTTTGTATTTAATGGAAATTTGGTGGGGCTTGGGTAATGAATAGCCAACACTAGTATGGAAAAAACATTCAGCAGAATCCTTCATTAGAAAAGTTTTTACTCTCGTCTTTTCCTCAGTCTATTGTTCCAAGTAAGTTTCTGTACAAACCCACGTAATCAAACACCAAAAATAATTCTAAAGCCCACCATTAAATAGTGAAATATAAGCACGTATTCAATATGTGATAAAAATGAATTAACTTCCCGTTTCCTGACTATCAAGTTGAAATATATAGTTTTTCTTGTAAATACACAGACAAGAAAAATAGAGGGCAAAAAAAGGTGCATAGATTTATAAGTATCACAAATTGAGAAAGAGCCAGCAGTTTTGGTTAGTGGGACTTTGCTACAACAAGCCAATAGCTAAAACCTCTCCAAGAACACATACATATACGAATAGCAAAACCTCGTCTTGAATAAAACTATTGTCTGTTATATGATAAGGTCTTGGTTTACTTAATATTTGATGGAAGTCAATACCCGAACCTATTGCCCTTGCAAGGTGGTGAAATGCTTCTTTGCTGCTTCTCTGCCCGAACAAACACCACAAGGCAAGGGTCAATGAGGTGCGTTCTTGACTTCTTCCCTCTGCTTTGCATCTCGAAGTAAACACAGCTTCTTTTTTTTTTAAGGATACTTTGATATGTTCCTTGATTTTCACTGCAGCAAAAAAAGGAAGCTAGTAAGGGGGCACAGAATTAATGAAAAACAAGAAGACCCGTCTCAAATAATTTATATTTATTGCAGTAGAATATCATTCAAATCCTGAATCTGTTACTTTTACCATATACCATTTTCCCTGTTACTTTTTCTTGTTCAAAATACTGTGATTTCATAAAATTAGCTTTAGTTCACACGCTTTCCTTTTTAGCTGAGGAGAAACAGTTGGAACTTCTGTTCTAAGAAATTAGTTGATTGAACTATAACTGAAATGAAATTTGAAGGAAAATATTGATATCAAATGTAGTTCTAATGTCCTAAACCGGGATTGATTTTCATAGGAAAACCTTAAATAGTTGAAAATTGTGGTCCAATTTCTAAGGAGTTTCATGGGTTACAATAAACTCTCTCTTCCAGGTGTTGTTTGGTGACTAGTCGTAATACTTTGATCCCCTAGGTGCTTATGAAACTTCATATGTTCTACAAACAACTAAAACCCAGAAAGCCTGTACCCCTATGTAAACGATGACATTAAAGTTAGAGGAGTGACTGACCTTTGTAAGACCTTGTAGTCATGCGCTCTCGCCACCAACAGCAGTCCTGATCCTTTTCAACTGTGCACTTGATAAGGCTATTAACAGTTGCCACTGATCCAAGAGAAAGCTTAGCCGTAGGAACCGAATCAACTAAGATCTGAAATGCGACTGTCAGTAGTGATCCGCCAGAGCCAACTTCAGGAATTACTTCTCCGTGGTGTGTCGGTCCATCGGGAAGTATAGCAAAACCAGATGGTAGAAGGGCAACATAGTCAGAGTCTCCACCACTAAACACCACATTCATAGCCCCAATATCAACGGCGCGTATATAACGTAAGAGCCTGTGAAGTCGGTGCAACTCTCTTGTAATATCAGCATGTTGCTCTGGCTTGAGTTTGCACTCTATATGTCATTTTGGCATTTATCAGTAAGTCAATTCAACTATAGCAGTTTCTAGTAGAAAAATCATTAAATGTATTTAACTATGTTGTGTTCTATGACTTACATTCACGCGCAATAGAGATACAGAGTTCCCAGGATCACGACCGTTAGCTATATGTGCCATTTCTTGGACTAGCCCTCCATTTGAGAGGATATCCCACTGCATTAGAGAAAATGCAAATATTTGAGGTGTTAGCGGTTTTGTATACTGTTTTATTTTCTATTCTTTGTTTTTGTTTTCTATGTTTTCAAGAACAGAGAACACTGAAAATCTATTGGTTTCACATTGTTTTCTTTTCGGAGTGAAAATTGTCCTTGAGAACTCTGAAACTGGTGGTTTGTTGTTTTCAACAAGTGGACTTTGCTATGTGAATTATGGAATGAAGTCCTGTCTACCAAAACTACAAATATATAGACATCAAACTGAGCGGATGCACGATGAAGTACATTCCAATGGGCATAACGATCAGAAATGAGAAAGTGAGAGGTAAGTTAATACAGATAGGCTTATACGGGTTACTTGTCTTTATTTGCAGGTAGAATTCTGGCACTTCTGATCTTCAAGTGTGGGGGTTCAGGAATTATCCTCTCACCTTGAAGATCAAGCTCTACCGGGGTAGCAGAAAGAATGCCAAGTAGCGTATTTCTCATACCTCGCTTCGAGAGTTCTCATCCCGGAGAAAATCAAACACTCTTTTCGGTGAAACGGGGAGCCAGAACGATGTGGCAGCACTTAGTATGATCCCTTGGGGCTTCCCAGGTTCGTCCATGCTCTTTCTGGTCATTACCCTTACATCATCGGCACCGCTTCCTGATAGTGTTGTCCACGTGTGTGCTGTAGAAGCGCCAACACCGGCGCAGAAGCTTGTCACCATTCTCTCGGCCAGCTTCAACATGCTCTTCCTCCCTTCTGGAGTTGTTATTACTATAATAAAAAAAACTTCTGTCATATTATGGCAACATGTTAACCCAATTTGATCCTTTGAATGAGAAATGCTATACCTCCAACATCTGCTGCAGGAATATTATTGGCCATTGCACTTGCCAGGCGTTCGCATTGTCGATCCAAAGTTGCTATCCAACGTTTTGCGCCGAATGCTAGACCCGAATTCACTAATGGTCTGTATAGATTGTGAACGGCTCTATCATCCACTTCAACATGTTCCACCCACGTTACCTAGGAAATACAAGGGCCACCACAGAACTCAAGATTACTATATCTAACATGTGAGTAATTGTATAGAAATTCAAGAGATGGTGACCACCTTTGAGTACCCATTTGGTAGTTCTTGGATTAAGCAACCAGAAGGCCGCCTTCGGCACCTTGAGATGGAGCTGGGGCGAAGATTATCCAAGGAGACATCGACCACTGCCCATGTCCCATCTGCGTGCTGCTTGCAGTATCTCACAAAGTAGTTTTCTCGGGTTGGAACAAGAGGTGAAGGGACCTGGAACTCGGCTGTCATCTGCAACAATAATGAAGATAGGTTCAAAAGCCTAATGAAATTCTTGACTTTTTTAACTTATGTGTTCATATTTTAAATTCAAAAGCTAAAAAAGCCAAGTTGTGGCGATCTTGCTCTCTGAATTTTTTGGCTAAAAATGCCAATTGTATAAGCTAAAAGGTCAAAAGGCCAGATTAGATTACTAGTATATTATTGGAACACAGTTTCAGGATCCACTTGGGAATAGCTAAGAACCCTATTTTAGATAACATTGAAGGGAATCTGAAGAATACCACTTGAAGGGCACCATTGTAGTTCCCTGCAACTCCGGTTGACAAAACCTCCAAGGTAAATGCCCTTGAAACGATGCCAGAAAATACGCTTGTCCATTGATTCTAACAAAAAATGAAAAACCAATCACGTATGAAAATTAATTTTTAATTAACTGAGGTCAGGATTAACATCAAGGATGGTGAATTTAGCCTACCACATCCATTAGAATCTCAACAAGGTTAACGTGGTTCATGATGACAACTGCTGATTCACGAGACGCTTCAGACTTGAGCCCTAATGGCTTTGGCCCGATCCCTCGGGGGAAGGTCCTGAGGTACTCATCTTCACTCAGAATCTCCGTTGCATTGTCCGGACTCGGCATCCATAGAGGCTCACCGGACTGGGCCATTCTGATTACCTCCTCCATTGCTGCAACTGCAAGCTCAATGATCATGGGCTTGTCAGCCTCAGATGGGCCCGAGACCGACCTGAGGAGGTCACTAGTGCCGCCGTACAAGTCCCCCACCATGCCTGCCGGTGAGCTGAAACTTCCAACTCCAAGATCAAGAGATCGGGGTGTTCCTTGAGTGTAGGAGAGCAGTGGCTTGCCCACATATTTTGCAGCAATGCTAGAAATCCTATCGATCTTTACAATGAAGAGCATACACAGAAACACTTTAGTCCAAATTACATTTGATTAATTAGTGCCTATTTGTTAATATAACTACTTGTTCAAACATTTTCTTAAGTGTGTCTGGTAATTTTAGATCCAATTACTTGAAAATAAACATAACTTTCATTTCCATTCTCATTTACTACATTTAATTTAAACTTTAAAATTTTAAAAATTTCATAATTTACACTGTCGCTATAAGAGAAAAAGTGCTTTTTATTACTCTATGAAATGCCACAACATCTCTTGTTGTCACATTTTCTAAATTGGTCTGCTTTAGAAAACGTTGCCTATATATAAGCCACTTCGCGGTTTTGCAAATTGGAAGTGCTTTAGACAGAATTAAATACCCATCATTTGAGAGCACCTCAAAATGCTTCTTAGCATTTGGGATTCATTATCCTTAATTGTAATGTGACATTTTCTTATAAATATTGCTTCAACTTATGTGAGATTTTTTTTTTAAAAAACAAAATTTCTCTCTTTTTGTAATCTCACAATAAGTGGGTTTTCTTTGTGTATTTAAATATAAAAATTTTAATCCACCATTTTAGTGGATTTTTTCATAAGCAAATTAATATACTAGCTTCTAAACTTGATTGTTAACTTCTATATACCCTAATCACATGTTGATTTTTTTTTTTTTTTTTGGGTTTTGAAGCAAATAAGATGTAACGCATCGACTCACCTCTTCTCGTAGACGTGCATTTTCAATCCTCAGATGCTGCTCGTCGAAGGACATCTCGCCGATGGCGGCAGGGCCACCGCAATTGGGACACGTGGCGTTTCCGAGGGCTTCCTTGTACCTTATGTTCTCAGCCCTCAGCTTCTCGTTCTCAGCTCTTAGATGTGAATTCTCGTGCCTTTCGTGCTGGGCCTGTGAAGAAGAAGGGGGAGGAGGAGGAGGAGGAGGAGTAGGAGGAAGAGGAAGAGGAAGAGGGAAAGGAAGGAAGATTTTGGCAGATGAGAGCCAATTATAACTTGTAAGTGTAAGTAATACGTACAGGTTGCAGTTTCTGAAGTTAATTTACCTTCATCTGAGTGCGCTTATTTTGGAACCAGAACTTGACTTGCAGAGGCTCTAACCCTAATCTCCGGCCCAGATCCTTCCTCTGCTTGTCATCTGGGTGTGGGCACTCCTTGAAGAAACTATACCCAAAAATTCAAAGAAGCACAGGTTGAATTAGATCCATCATCAACTTCTTCTCTCTCAAAGAGCTTCCCAAGACTTTTTTCTTTTTTAATTTTTTACAAGATTTGAGAAAGTTTCCTCTCATACATTTTCGAAACGTGATTTCTGGACTATCAAACCCAGTTGCAGATTCATATAATTTTCGAATGGGTCAATAATCATATGTATTTACAATAAATTACATTTTTGCCAGTAAATAAACCTTGAAAATTGGTACAAAGGTCTAAAAGTTATAAAATTTATGCGTGCAAATCAAATGGGGCAATTATATTATACTTATTGTATACAAACACTAACACGATAAGCCCCTTACTAGATCCGTCACTGCTCTAGCCGGTAACTTTACAGTGACAAAGAAGTAAGAGTAATCTTAGTGTTTTGTTCTATATAGATGTTAGAAAAATGTGTGCTTACGCTTCCATCTCCTGGATTTGATGTTGGGTGTGGCGGTGGTACCGCTTCTTCTTGTTCGGCCGTTGATTGGGATCTTGATCGTCACCGGAGGGAGCTTCCATGATGTCTGTTACCGATTTGCTCTCGAACTCATCCACCTCCCTCATCATCTCCATCTCGCTCTCCGGCGTCTTGTGTCCCCCCACATCTAGTAGGTGATGACTGTCAAATATGTTTGGCTGAAACATCTCCTCAGATTTATATTTTCTTCCGAAACTATGCCTGTTGAGTAATCTACGAACAGATGAGAGTCAGAAAAAAGATGAAAAAGCTCTCTTTAGTTAGATCAATAGGCAGTGGAGAGCAAGTAGAAGATTTCAAGTGCATGAAATCGAAGACATAGAGAAACTAGAATTTTCTTTTTCCTAGTGAACGAGGTGTTGGAAACTAGATAATAAGTCCCTCTCTAGAAAAGAAGTCTCTCTCTCTCTCTCTCTCTCTCTATACACACACACACACACACACCTAGAGTAAAGAAGTGCAGCGTTTGTATCGAGATGGATTTGGCTTGAATTATCTTAGTGCACTGGCTTATTATCTCTTAGATCTCAAGTACATTGCTTAGTTATTTTAAATTATAATACAAAAATCCCGGGTATCAAGGAATTATTGCCCAAACGAACTATACCTAATGACCTGTGTAATGTCCAAATGAATAAACAAGAAGGACGTATATGGGGCACAGGCAGCAAAGCGAAGGTCTTGTTATTCAGTGGCTAGAGAGAAAAAGAAAGAGAGTCTCAAGTCCTCACCTGACTGAGGATTAGCTCCGTAGAAAACCCAAACCAACCAACTTTCATCGCCGGCGATTTGCAACTTAACCACCAACTCACCCACAAACCCTAAACATCCTCATATCCAGAAACCCTAAAATCTCTCTCTCTATCTCTGGAGGAACTGTCTTGTTTGGTTTTGGCTTTGCTTAGGGGTTGAGTTTTTAATGGATATGCTCTGGCCCTGTCTGATGAGTAAGCTACAATTGAGAGAGAGAGAGAGAGAGAGAGCGAGCGAGCGAGCTAGGTTTTTGCTTTGGTTTTGTGCTTTTAAACAGGAACTTTTATTCAAGTCCGTCGTTACGTGCCAAAAAGACCAATTTGAGAAAAATTAGCAACTAACAGATCTGACAGAGAGTGAACTTGGCCCTTTGACGCCACCCCATTCCAATTTCCCAAAAAAAAAAAATAATAAATTGAAAAGAAGAATTTTTGTTTTGTGTATAAATTTTCAAACCCAGTAACGTCTCCTCTAGGATTTCGGTTGACCCTCTACCTTCTCTCTCTACCTGCAATACATAACCCAAAAAAAAAATCAGATTATAGTTATATTTGGGTATGTGTATATATATATGTAGTAAACTCACTCTGAAAGTGTAGTGACTTACTGAGAAAGCTAAGTTAACCCCTTTTGTTTTAGGGGTTAAGGAAGTTGAGAGGGTCTCAGATCTGGTCTTCGGGCAAGTGATCAATAAAAAACCTCTTGTTGGGTGGTTTTGGAGGATTGAGTGAGTGGTTTACAGGGCGGTTGTAGTTGGGACTTTCCTTGTGAATAGAATTTAAGAAGAATACTTGGGGATGAGGATGAGAGAGAGAGGAGAGAAACGGACGAGAAAAAAAGAGGAGATAGAATTGAGAGAGAGAGAGAGAGAGAGAGAGAGAGAAGAAGGTGAGAAGAGGAAGAAGGAAAGGGAACAGGTGGAGAGGAGGAGTTATTGCAGAGCGTAGGGAGAGGGTGCAACTGCATTTATGAAGAGGGGAGAGAGAGAGGCGTCATTGCTGAAGAGAGAGAAATTTTCATTCCATGCTTACAAATTTTAAATTCTCTAAATTGGGCTCATCGTGAACCGACTTGAGGCTTCTTAACTCCTCAACCTTCACCAACTTACCTTTCTACAGAGCTTCATCATATCTTCAACATCTGGTATTTCCATTATCTTTATATACTCTTTTTTCCCCCTTTGGTTTCGGTTGTTTCTGGTCCAGTAAAGGGAAAAAAAGAAATTAAATTCTACCATTTAAAAAAAAAAGTTCCAGTATTCAGGAATTATACTCTGTCTGTAAACTGATCAATTCTGGGTTTTTCTAATTTTATTTTATAATACAGTTTACCAAGCAATTGTCCAATAATTATCTGTTGATTGACCCGAAAAATTGATCATAATTCTAACAATATGTTTTTAAAAATTGAAAATTATGATAGAGAATGGAGTAAGGGAATGCGATTGCAATTGGGAATTGAAATGGAATTTTTTTTCTAATTAAATATAACGTTTATACATTTTTTGAACAACAATTTTATTATTAGAATCTAAAAAGTAACTTTAAACTTTCACATCTCATTGCTATTAACGCGAGATAATAAAACTATAAATCATTTAATTCGTATAAAACTTATGTTTATCCAAGACATATACATTCAAACATCTCTTTCAAACTTAAAGAGACTCCTTAAACAAAGACTGCTCCATTTGATTCGGCCATGACAGACAATTTCACCAACCGTCAACTTCCGGCGACGAGTCCAATGGATATGGATGGGCACACCCAGCACCGTCCAGACTTTTCAAAGACGGGCGACGGAGGAAGGCGATCAAGTCTGAAATTATAGATTTTGACAGTTAGTTCTCAAATTAATCTCTCTATTCATACTTACTCTTCTTTTTTCAACTCCATTTTTTATTTATTATAAATAAGAATAAAACAAATATAAGCATTAGCGGAACCATCAATATGCAATCACATAAAATGGACACTTGTGGACAAATTAAATAAAATAAAATGCTGATAAAAAAAATTCTCATAAAAACCTCAGGCCACGCAAGAGAAATTTTAATTAATTGCCCATTTAAAATATATATATATATATAAAAGAAATTTCTTTTTCTCAAAATTTAGTTAGCTGAATAACGGGCATATTTACAGCAGCAAATGTTGTACTTAATCACATGCGTGCAAACCGTAATCAATACTTGCCATATCCAATACCATACAAATATGACGACGATTGACGGGAGGACTTATCCATTTTAAGTAATCTTCTTTGCATCAAAATTATCATTACTTGGCTGTTATATTTCAAAGGATGCCGCTTTCTTTTGCTTGGGAAGATTTCGGAACTTACTGCGAAAAACGAATTTAATGTTGTCCAAAAATGGTTTTCGGCTTTTCATGTCCTTCCCCATTAGTTCCAAAGGGACGGTGCTCTTCGGTATTGCACTTCCGTATATGTGTGTAATCCTCTCCATGTACATACAGATGTATATATGTGCTATAGCTTTCGTGCACTCGTCAAGACAAGTAGAGCGATGGATATTGCTGATTAAGGCTTGTTAGTAAAATATATCTACTGAGAATTTAACATAATATAATTTATCTAAATTTTAAAAATTGGAGGGTAAAAAGAAACCAAATAGAAGAATACTTGTTATATTTATTCAAAGGCAGTATTATCCTCTTCTCCATGCTCAGATCTTGGGAAGAATTTCAAAATCATCCTTCAAATTTCAACATTTTAATAAAATTATCCTTGAATTTTAGAATTTCAAGAATGATATTGTAATACAAATGAAATCTGAATTATGATTTTGAAATTCTCCCATCTTGGCATGTCTAAAATGAAAAAACATTATGGTAAAAAAGGTATTATTATAAAAATATATTAATTATTTTATCATATACTTTATATATATGATTTAATATCATTAAAAAACAAAAAAATGTGAATACTGAGAAAAATAATGGGGACCATGTACTATATATATGGATCTTTCTCCAATAAAATGTGAATTCTCTGGAATTTTTCTCAGATGGAAGTACTTGTTTAAAAAATATAGAAGGTTGCACATAATATATAGAAATAACGGCTCAAGTGACGTGGAAATCTGATAGATTAGTGTATATGTGAGAGGATGACTAATTGCATATGTTATTTACAAATCATAGTTTTTAATTAAATTTTTAGAATTTCAATATATATTAAAAAAGTAATAATACACACAAAAATGCATATTTTTACATATACATTCTTATTATAGAGCACAAGAGTGTATAGAATAAATACTCAATAGGTGTGGTATAAGTGATAAAATAATTTTATATACATGAAATAGAATAGGGTTTAAATTCGGAAAATTCTACTTTTGAAAAAAAAATTACAGTATCTTGAATATAATTAATTTTATATCATAAAATGAATGAAAATACTTAAAAGAATAAAAAAAAATAGAATACTATGGTGCTTTGTGGTCCACCTATTCTAAACCTGATTTATTCATATTCTCACCGCAATGGAGTAGGGCTTTCGCAGGCATAAACGTCTTTAGATTAACGTCCGAGATCAATTGTTGCAATAGATTATTATAGCCGCAAGTCTCTTTTGGCGTGCTTATCTTAATTATAGTCATATTAAAATATTATTTAAAACATTTTTATGATTAAAACGAAATTAATCGTGACTCCTGATTTTTAAGGATATACGGTGGATTGGAATATCGAATCAACTAATTTCTGACATTTTAACGTAAATTAATTACAGTTTATTGGAACAAAAATTTAGGTTTTATGAAGCCACCTTGGTTGCTTCTTTTTTGGGGGTAATATAATGACATGTGTACTTTACAATTCAATCTGTCTGTTTATTTTGACTAAACGAGTAATTTAGTTTAAACATATTTTCAAGGTTGTCTCATTTAATTGCTTTGGTTTTAATGCATCATATATCGTTTATGGACAATTATGTTCCCAAAAAATATTGGTTGTTTGGTCAAATTAAATTAGAAAGTTGTCTTTGTATAAAACTGTATTTTTTTTTTACAGAAAGAAAGATTAAGGATTTTTTTTTTTTTTTTTTTTTGGAGAAAAAATTGAATGTTTTAAATATAGCTGACTTTGTGATTTGAAAATAGTATCGTAGGGGAAAAAAAAAAGGAAAATTTTGATTTTGAAAGACAAGTAGATAACCGTTGACTGAAAAATCTTAATTCCTCCATACTCCTGTTAGCATACAACTGGCCGCTGCAAGTCACTTAGTCCTTGCTCCGGTCCCTCTTTCTGACTTCCGTTCAATGCAAAAATAAATTAATAATGGTCTCCCTCACATCTCTGCAACCTGAATCTGCAAATGTACATTTATTTCTTCATGCTTTTCTTCTGCCTGGTTGGCATGTGTTACATGCATATACATGCGCGCGCGC